GACAGACTTCGAGCTGACCCTCATTTTGATGGAGTGCCTTTGAAAATGAAGATGAAGCTGGAGCGAGGGTTAGAGGTTAGGCCTCTCTGGGCCTTGGCCACCACATTGAGTGTTTGGAGTTGGATGGTGGAGCAGTGGAGCTGGGGAACATAAGCTCAGGGTTGTACGTGAGAGACAGCGCTCTGATTACCAATTAGAGTATGGATTCCATGGAGAAAGGCAGGAGGCAGGGAGGCCAGAGAGGAGGCCTTCATCATAGCCAACACATAGATACCCCTTACTCTGGCCCAGGTCCTGTTCTGACTTTATATATGATAAAACTTGTGAATGCGCAAAACAGGCTGGCAGGATGGTCTGAGGATAGACTATGTGGCACCTGTGACTGACACTGCATGGGAAATAAGTTAGAAAGAGGAAACCAGGATACCTCTGAGATTTTTTTTTTTTTTAAAGATTTGTTTGTTGGATCCTCCCTGGTGGTACAAGGGGTTAAAGCACAGCATTATGAAGTTATCGTAGCTACTTCAGCAGGAGTTTGATCCCCAGCCAGGGAGCTGACCCATATGACGCAGCAGACCTCCCCTGACCAGCCTGCTGCTCCCCTCAACAGTGTATTTCAGTCTACCTGTTCTGCTCCCCACTCTACCTCTGGTGAATCTTCTTACCTCTTGCATCTGTAGCCTGTACCCCAATTCTTTTATGCATAAATAAATAAATATTATTAAAAAAAGATTTGTTTATTTATGCATACAAGATCTGGGATGTAGGCCAGTGGTACAGGGGAGGAGAGTGAAAGAATTCACTAGAGACATAGTGGGGAGCAGAACAGGAAGATCTACTGAAATATACTGCTGAGGGGGGGCAGTGGGTGAGACAGGAGAGCTGCTGCGCCATGTGGGTCACTTCCCTGGCTGGGGATTAAACTTGTGCTGCAGAGGTTGTGGATATCTTGATAGTGCTGATCCCTCCTCTGAGATCTTGAACCTGGGTGTTCAGAAGGCTAGAAAAGGCCCTCTTGGAAACAGGAGAAAGAAGAACTAAGAAAAGTCTGTACATATTTAATGCTGTCAGTTTTGTGTCTAGTCCAGTGCAGGGCCCTCAGGAGACAAAACAAAGAAACAGCTAGTTGTTGCCTCCAGGAACCACAGATGTCTCCATCCAAGTAATGGATGATTTCAGTATATTGTGACTGATGAGTGTGGGGAGACTTGAGCAGGCAGAGTAGAGTAGGGAAGCAGTAAGAGAACTTCCACCTACTCAACTACTTAAGCTAGGAACCTAGGGGTCAATCTTTTTTTTTTTTTTTCTTTAAAGATTTATGCATATAGAGCTGGGGTACAGGCCAGAGGTGCAGGGGTAGTGAGAGAATTCACCAGAGTGGAGAGCAAAACAGGCAGATTAACAAAGTACACTGCTGAGAGGAGCTGTGCCATGTGGGTCACCTCTGGTGGGTGGTCACACTTGCAGCTGTGGCCAGCTTCACAGCGCTGCACTTAACCCACTGTACCACCAGGGAGGGCCCCCCTAAGGGTCAATCTTAAATCCTCCCTCCCTCCCTCCCTCAACCAATGACCTCCCTCAAACAATAACCAGCAGATTTGATCTCCTAAATATCTTTTGAATCTGTCTACTTTTCTCCCTCTCCACTGAGAATACATTAGACCAGGCCACTGTCTAGTGTCTAGCATATTCATTGAACTACTATAATTTCCTAGTTGGTCTCTCCACTTTCATTCTGATTTGACCTAATCCACTTTCCCAATGGGAGAATAATCTTTTAAAAAGGAAAGCCAAGTCTGTCCCCTACTTATAAACTTTTCAATTGCTTCCCATTGTTCTCAGTAAAATCCAACATCCTTAGCCCAGACTATGAGAACCAGCAGCGTCTGGATCCTTATGACCTCACTGGGCTCATTGTGCTTTAATTCCTACTACACTCCAGAGTCAATGGCAGGTCTGACAATATTTAGAATATGGGAGATTTCTTTAGGCCACAAGAGTTTTCCCATGTTATTTGTTCTGCCTTTTAAACTTTCCCCCAATTCTTAGTCTGGTTAACTACTATAAGTTTGTAGGTCACTTCCTCAGGGAAGCCTCCCCTGATCTTCTAGCCTAGGTCAGAACATCCAGATTCTATGTTGAGCCAGTTAACTTTTTCT